TAAATATTTTATTTTTAAAAGCACTTTCAAATTTATTTATTTTTTTACTTTTTCTTTGCTTTCACTAATATTGGAGCCAATTTCTCCCCATACTTTGTCCCGTTTTATTATTTTTAGAGGATCTGAATCATTTTTCTCCACCTTCCAGATCGCCTACTCAAAGATCGAGGGAGACCACATCGTGAGCGCCGCTTACTCCCATGAGCTGCCCAAATACGGGATCAACGTGGGCCTCACTAACTACGCCGCCGCCTACTGCACCGGCCTGCTGCTGGCCCGCAGGGTAAACCGGCTGCATCCTGTCGCACTCAGCCTCCTGCAAAGCTTCGGATTCCTAACGTTTAAACATCTCGTTTTCACTTTGTAGCTGCTGCACAAGTTCGGCATGGATCAGATCTACGAAGGTCAGGTGGAGGTGACGGGAGACGAGTTTAACGTGGAGAGCGTGGACGGGCAGCCCGGCGCCTTCACCTGCTACCTGGACGCAGGGCTGGCCAGGACCTCCACAGGAAACAAGGTGTTTGGAGCCCTGAAGGGGGCCGTGGACGGAGGGCTGGCCATTCCTCACAGGTCAGAATCACGCTTCTACGTTCACCACCACGGTCGGGCTCTGCACAGCGGGGCGCTAACTGTTTACTAGCATGTCTCTTTGGGAGCGTTTTTTACAGAAGTCTTAGTTTATACAACAACAAACATTTATTATCAAACAAACGTTAACAATGGATCTTAAACAGGTGGGAGTACGGAGAATTATTTTTTATTTTTGAAAGCAAAAACATGTTTCTATAAAGAAAATCAGAGGAAAATGCGATTTTAACCCTTTATAGGGTAGGTTAGCATTTTTGATCACTTACAAATCCCTTACAACCCACCGTCCCTCAGTGAGGTCTAGAAGCACTAGATCTATATCCATCCATTCAGCAAAGATGCTGCTACATGGTTGCACATCTTATTCTGGCATTTGACCAATTAGATGAGCCCTTTGATGAGATATTACCTACTGGAAATGAAGTTTGGGGGGGTAAAAAGCTAATTGAAAAGTTACAAAGTAAAGTTAATAACTAGTTAACAATTATTATTTAGGTTTAGAAACTGAAAAAATGTCAGTGCCAGTATCAGCATTAATGCCTCTAAGGTTATTATGAACCAAAAAAAAAAAAGTTCTTTCTCTCTCAGACTGTTTTTCATGAATTTCTTATAGAAGCACTTTTATTATTTTTCTTAATATATTCGGGCAAATTTACGTTTCGTATTACTTTTTTTTGTTACAAAGGTAATAAGTTCTTGTCCTGGATTCCAATAATACTGTTGGCTGGAAATTTAGATTATAAAGGGTTAAAGGAAATTTGAAAATCCTTGAAAAATAATTCATGCGTATAATAAAGTTAAGCCAGCGTTTCTACACTTTGCTATTTTTTAGAATTTTTTTTTAATTTTAAATCAGATGTAATAGAACATGAATATTTAGAAAATGTTTTTCAAATTTAAAAACTTTGACATATATTATTTTTCTGATTTTAAATGTTTTGCTTTTCTAGTTTTTTTTTTTTAGTTTTTTTTATGAAGGTTCTAGTCTTTTGTTTTGGTTTTTTTCTTGCAGGCCTTAATAAAATAAAACTAAAACAGGGAAATAATACATTTTTTTTAATGTATATATACTTAATGAGACATGTAACCATTTGCAGGCCTGGGGTACATAGCAGATGACTAATTTTTTTATTTTTTGGTTTTGTCTATGGATTTGTTTTAAAATTTCTATTTACAAAACATGTTCATCATAACATTAATGGAATCAAATTCACTCCATATTCTTTGACGGCTTCAGGCTGTTTTTAGCTCTTTTTTTTTTATTTTTTATCTATAATGTCTCTATTCAGTTGAGAAAAGCTCTCATTCTAACTTTTTTAAAGATCCAAATAAGTAAAGTTGCATATTTACGAGAATAAACACATTTTCTGAGATTATAAAAACTTCCGTATTTAGAAGGAAATGGGTAGAAAATTTGAGACTAAAACGCAAATTTACAAGAAAATAAACATGCATGTTTACAAGATCGTAAGCATGTAAATTTAGAAGAAAAATTAGAGAAAAATGCGATTTAAAGAGGAATTTGAAAAAAATCGTTTTAAAAAAATAATTCATGCCTATTTTAAATTTCAGTGTTTGTACACTTTGCTATTTTTAAATCGAAGAAATTAAACTTTTTTTTTTACCTTTTTTTTCTCTTAAAACTTTTCCTATTTTAATATTTTGTTCTAATTTTTTAAAATATATTTTACTTTTCGATATAAGATAGAAAAATATTTCTTCACATTTTTTGTCTTATTTGGCAAAATCTTGATTTTCGTTATTATTCCCCCACTAAATGAAAGAAATAAGAATGTATTATTATCTAGAGATGATTAATAACAGGAGGAGAAATGCAGCTCCAGATGAGCCGAGCGTGTGATGTCATCAGTACATCAGTTCCAGTTGACCCAGATTTATTCCGCGTTCTCCCAGAGTTCAGACTTTCCTGGGTTCTAGTCAAGAACAGACTTGGCGAGAACACGAGTCCGTACTCGCGTTCTAGTGAGTTGAGAAACGGCCTCAATTTACTTTCCTAACCAAAGTGTTGTTCTGCTTCAGTTAAATACCCATAATGCTTTGCTGCATCATCATGACTGATTCCATCCTGGAAGAAAAACAACATGGAAATAGAGCTGGTTTGTTCCAGGTTCGCTTATCGGGATTCTGATCAGATGGAAGCAGATTAGTTTCTGTGTGTNTCTTGGTAGAGCAGGACAGTTTGATGCTGATGTCCTTAACTGACCGTTTCACCGCTGACCTTTGGTTGAATTATCAGAGGGAAAAACCGACTTCTTCGCTCGCAAGCGCCTGGTTGTTCAGGATAAGAACAAGTACAACACGCCCAAATACCGACTGATCGTCCGCCTCTCCAACAGAGACGTCTGCTGCCAGGTGGGTGACCCACTCCCACATCTAAACGGCTATGGAGAGAAATGTCTTCCTATATTATTGAATGCAAAACAAAAAGGAAATTTGGAAGTTAATGGGTTTAATAAGGGAATTTCAGAAAAAACTTAGAGTAATTTATAATATGCAAAATGTTTTTCTTTATTGTTTTCAGATTTAGTTTTATAGTATTTGCAGATACGCTAATTCTGCCTCCATGTGCTCTGCTAACGATGACCCTTTCCACTTGTAAAGTGGAAGTTACCAGCGTGTTGTGTTCAAGTGCTTTTGTTGTGTTAGAGAAGAGGAACATGTTGGATCCACAGATTTTTCCTGAGCTGCTAATCACCTGAGCTCACTGCCATACGCTACAGATCAAATGAGACAATAATCAGAACACTGTAACCAGCGCTATGCTCGGCAGACTGCTAGCTAGCACCTGATAGAATTAACAGTCATTTTAAGAACCGCACATTTAAAAGCCGATATTAAAACAAAAAAAGTGTCTGACAGCATGGGTCTTTCGTACGTGACGTCACGCCCTGTGCATTGTGGGTAATTAGCGCCATATTGGGGGGTTACCGTGCAAGAAATTAGAGCTGCCATTAAAGCGTCCCGAGGAGATTTACCTTTTTTTTTTTTTTATCAAAACCAACAAAAAAAAAAAACACGTTTATATTTGCTATGAACCTTAATATTCCAGGGGTCACAAGATTAAATTTATTTAGCATGTAAAAGAGCTTTATGTACTTTGAGTTTAATAATTTTGGAAGCTTTTTACTGCTTGATAGGTTCTGATGCACCATAATTTACACTGAGATAAAGCTGTGAAGTGAAGACTTGTACAAGTTTGACTAACATCTTCCCTTTGTGGTGACCGCAGTGTTAGTGCATCCTTCTGGTTGAAATGAGTATAAATCTTGCACCCAACCATTAGTAAACAGTCCATGAGCGTCCAGAGATTTGTAGTTTCGGAATTCTTCAAGTGTATATGCACTAATTATGTCCATATTTGTAGTTGGTGGAAATAGCAAGGGATCGGCTGTCCATGCTTTAGCTGCTAGCTCATACGGATCTATATTGCTAATTGAGGTTAGCTTAGCTAAATACCGGTATCTGCCGTCCTTATTGAGTTTATCTCTGTAAATCTTCTTCTCGGTTTTATTGTGGATGTCCATGTTGCTGAAGTTATCGCGCTGTCATCGCAGCTTTACTGTCAATACTTGAACTCAAATGAAGTTCATTGCGATTAGGCAGGTTACCCCCCAAACATGGCGCCTCCTTGTGTCGAGGTCACATGACTGCAAAAGACCCATTGTGTAGACAAGAGAGAACCCGAATGCTAAGCTCAAACCTAAAGCAGGGAAAGCGCGCGAGCTGCTTAATTTCTGATGCTTGTACCAGTTTTGGTTCTGATGCACAGCTAGAAAAGTGCGTCTGATGCGCTTTGGGCGGAGCTAACCATATCCTTTCTTTCCCTGGAACAATTGCGGCTAAATTTGCTGTCATCAGTTCGTGCTCTTCGTGCTTTTCTGCTACTGTTTGCTGCTGGAAGCTGGTTTTCATGTACGTAATCCAAACTGCAGCCACCAGGATTTTAAAATCTAACATATTCTGCCTTTTTAAGTTAATTTAGGCGTTAATAAACTGTTTCAGAGGAGTGATCATAGCGCTCTGCATTAGCAGTGCTGCGTCTGACTCCCTGCCAGCTCCCAGATCAGCTTCTGATTGGTTGATGCGGCGCGTCCAGGAGCTAAAGTTACATTTCTCCAACTCCAGCAGCTGCTGCTTCCTCTGCTGCTTGCGGTCTGAACATAGCATTAACGATGCAGCATTCACCACACCGAATCATTTCACTGCTGTCCGCCATGTTGGAAGGTCAAAGTTTACCTCA